ACTATCCATTAAGACAAGTCGGTCGGGCGCGCGGCGCTTTTGCTTTTTGTCGGCCGCCGCCGCCGGCCGCCTCGCTGCCGCTGTCCTTTGAGGAGACGCCGCGCCGGGGTGGCCAATCCCGTTGTGGCGTGTCCGGCCACCTCGGACCAATGGCGGCCCGGGGACGTGACGCATCGAGAGCGAGCAAGAGAGAGAGAGAGAGAGGGAGGGAGAGGGAGAGAGAGAGAGAGCGAGAGAGGGGCCGCGGAGGTATTGGAGTAAGGCCCTTACGAGTGCGACAGAGACGGAGAGGGCCGTCACGCGCGCGCGCCGCCCGTCGTGTGAAACGTGCGGTGTGGTCCAACACCGCCCTAGCCGTAAAAGCGATGAGGTGACACCGTAAGACTCCGTCACGAAATGGTCACCCTATAAATGTTGTGTGTGTGTGTGTGACTCGCGTGGCGCGCCGCGCGCGGAAGACCGGACCCGGACGAGCGGAAACACAAACGCCACAATGTCGCGTTATAGCGACATTCTCTCGCGCGCTCAGGAGGACGGAATGCCTCCTCCATCTCCTCCTCCATCTCCTCCGTTTCGTCCTCCACCTGCAGCTGCACCGTGTGCCTTGGGCTGGAGCAGTTTAGAGCACTGTCACCTCGGGTGTTCGACTCCAGCGTACATGGAGAGTGTTTAAGCAAAGTGATTAAACTGCTCTTGCAAGTCGGCAATTCATTATTTGGACATAGCTGCAATGACTTTTGCAGTCGAGCCTTTAAACGGCCACCTCCCCCTAAACTGATGATAGGAAACTTGCGTGGGTTTCAACGCTACTTGACCAAAGGCATTGTAAGTGAGATGGTGACGTCAGGTTGAGTTCGGCAAAGCAGTTTTGGTTGCAGCTCCCAGGCGCAGTGATCGCTTAATGCTGCAAGAGGCAGTTGAATTTCGGTTTAATTTGTAGTTGAATAAGTTCTCGGGAAATCATTATACATGCAACATTTTAATACTTTGACGGTTCAAAAATTCGACGCACATGCGCGTACCTCTCTCTCTCTGGCGTGCTCCTCGTAAAGCAAAGATAAAGCCCGCAATGACACCAGTATGACAACTTTCCGAATGGACCTCTTAGTTAGTACTGTCCGTAAGTGCGCCCACTCCCACTCGTTGAACGTTGAACCTCACTTGATGGCGGTGTTGGTGTTCTGCCATGACGAAAGCAACAATGTGTCAAATTGTATGTTTATTTCTATAATCTTGTGGTCTCCTGCGGCCGTCCGATGAACCGAGCCGTGGGGATGACAAACGAATCGATGCATATGCAACTCGGCCTAAAATTACATTTCATGTGCAATGTGTGCATCCTAGGTTAGCTTAGCCCAAACCATGCCCCCCCCCCCCTCTCTCTCTCTCTCGCACTAGGCGCGCTAGGCCCGGGCTTGCCCCGGGGGCCGCCGCGGATGCGGCCCGGCCCCGCGCGAGCGGAACGCCCCTCCCGCCCCGCCCT